GGGCCAGTGATACAGCCGCTCTTGTCAGGCCAAGGCCTGGAGGGGATGAGACCTTGCTGGGACGCTGGCCCTGCAGAGCTCCCCACTCACACTGCCCCCCACCCTCACTGCCCCCCACTGTTCCTCACAAAGCTTGCTCCTTCCCCAGGGTCTTTGCACAGGCTGTTCCCTTGGCTCCAACACTCTTCCCCTTGGCTCTCAGGGGTCTGCTCAAAGGTCACCTCCTCAGAGAGGCCTCCCAGCCGCACGACCAAGCCCCCTGTCCTCCCGTAGGCCAAGGAGTCGGGGTGGTGGTAAGTGATGAGCCATGGGAAAGCTCCCAGCACCTACCCAGCACACAGTGGGCACTCAGGAAATGTGGCCACACGGGCAGCACAGTCTCTATACAAAACCCATGAATTCAGTGCTGGCGTCTGATGTCCCTGATGCAAATCCCACCACCGTTATCACTGGGAGTTGTCGCTAAGTGGACTTGCCTTCGCGGCTGGGCACACAGCCCGGATTTTCTCAGCAGCAGCAGCCTTTTTTAAACCCTGATGGAAGCCCTCCCGCCTCTCCCTCTACACCCAGTGCTGTGGACGACAAGGGCAGAGACCCCTGTGGCCGTGTGTCCTGCCCAAGACCTGCCTCAGTCCCCATCTGCCGAGACGGCTCTTGGCTCAGGGCTGTGCACAGAGGCGGGGGCGCAGGGCCCCCGGGGGGAGTAGTGGAGGGTGGGCTCAGTGCCTCTGTGCAGCCGGGGAAAGAGGCGGACCCCGTGATGGGGGAGGAGAGCCCGTCGAGGGGATGTCACAGCGCCTTTGGAAAAGATCCGAGGGCCACAGCACGGCCGGCCTGCTGCCCTGCGCTCAGCCCCTCGCTCCAGCCGTCCTCAGAGATGGCCCATCACCTGGTCCCCACCTCAGGGCCTTTGCACGAAGGCTCCTCCTCCTGGGGCCTTGGGGAGCGGCCCGCCGTCTGCGGGGGTGTCTCTCGCAAGCCCAGGGGCCCTGCCTGGACTGGAACCCCGCCCCCCCAGCTGCGAGAGTCGGCGCCTCGGTTTCCCGTCGGTGAGAGAGGCCGGGACCTTCCCCAGAGGGCAGCCGCGAGGGTGGACGCGGGAACGCGTCCTGGCACCCGGCCTTGCCCAGGTCGGGACGCGGCCGCTCTGACTGTCATCGCCCTCTCCCAGCACCCGGCGCGGGGTAACTCTGTCTCTCTTGCCGGCGGCTGTCCCCTCGGCCACGCGCCCCGCGGCCGCCGGACACCAGGCGCTGGATGAACCGCCGCCGGGACCGCGCGTTCCCGGCCCGCCCCTGCCCCCTGGTGGGCGCTCTCGGCATTGCCCCGGGGGCCCCTTCCCGCAGGTCCAGGGCTCTGGGCACCAGGCGGACCTGCTGCCAGCGGTGCTGAGCTCCCCACCGGCACGGAGATGATGGGAACGTGGGCCCGAGGGGCACAGAGCAAGGGAGGGGCCCCGGGGGAGGGGGGGCCCTGGGGGAAGGGAGAGCCCTGGGGTGCGGAGTTGGGGGGAGCCGCTTATCCCGAGGGCCCAGTAACCCGCGGGCTCCCCAGGGCCTGCGGGCCAGCTGTGTGGATGCTCTCCAACGCCCTGAGCCGGCTCCAGACCCACCCGTACATCTGACCACCCTGAGGTCTGGCCACCTGCCCCAGGGCCCTTTCCTCTTCCAGGGCAGCTTGAGGGAACCTCCCAGACCCCCTTCTACCCAGGGTGTGAGGGGACCCACGGTGTGTCCCCCCGCACCAGGGGCAGGCGACAGTGTGGGTCCCAGAGCTGGCAAGCCTGGGCTCCCCGAGGGGTGCGGGGGAGCTGGCCCCCACTCCAGCCTGGTGTCCCCCTCTACCAGACGGGCTTCTGCTTGGCCCCAGTGACGGTTCCAGAAGGTTCTCACTACAGAGCCCAGCACACAGTAGGTGCTCGGGGAACAGCTGTGGACTCCACCTGAGATTTGGAAGTGAGTGAAGGGGTGGTTTGTTATTCACGCTGCATAAGTGCACAGGCTGCCGCACGCGTCTCGGTCGGACTGCGTGAGCACAGGCCACAGGAACAACAGCCCCTCCTCTCGGAGGCTTAACACTCCCTCTGTATGGTTTGTTCTTGCAAAGTCTGTAGCTGCTCAGGAGGCTCTCCAGGGCAGCTGTCCCCAGAGTGGCAGCTCCAGGACCCCAGCTGCTAGCGTCCGGCCGCTCCTGGGGCCACCTCAGGAGTGGACGGGCACGCTCCACTCACAAGGCCACCTGCCACCGGGGGGCTAAGAAATCATCGTGAGCGGGGGACAGCCCCAGAGCACTCGAGTCTAGTCCACCGGGGGCTTCAGTCTGGGCCTCAGTTTACGCACCTGTCAGGTGAGGGGCTGGGTCCATGAGCCGTGCAAGGAGCTCTCCCTGCCCTTCTCCTCCCAGTTCACTGTCACCGGCTGTCGGCCCTGCAATGAGAGGGGGAGAAGACCCTGGGACGGCCACAGCCAGGGCCAAGCTTGGGGTGACACAGGCCCCTCGCCACCCCTGCCACAGGCACACCCAGAGATGCACGTCCCAGGTTTGCCCACAGACACACTCGGACACCTCGCACACAGGCTGTCAGGACTAGTGAGGACACCAGGAAAGTGTGGGTGCAACTCAGGATGGGGCCAGCGGCCGGGGAACTCTGGGCTCCCTCTGCGAGCCCCTCCCAGGCCCAGGGCCCCAGCTCCCGGACGGCCCTCTGAAGGTCCAGTCCCCACAGCCACGCTGAGCCCCAAGAAGCACTCGGCAGCTCAGCCTCAAGGCTCCGGGGCAGAGCCGGCCAGCCTGGGGGTGGCCAGGGTCCAGAGCCGACCTGGAGGGCTGCGCAGAGCAGCCCAGGGCCAGGCAGGGTCCCCCAGTGGCTGTGAGGTGAGGGTGTGAGCACCCGAAGGAGCCACAGAACCTGGCTGGATCTGGGCAGGGACAGGACGGCTGCCAGGCAGGGTGAGTGCCGACCCAGGGGTGTGCAGAGGCCACCACCTTTTGTGGGGGCCAGTGGTGCAGACTCAGGCTGTGGCGGTGCCTGGGAAGAATGCCACATCCCAGGCCCAGTGATGTGAGGTGCCTGGCACTGGGGCAGCCCCATGTGGGCCTAGGCTCTCCTCTGCGGTGCCCCTCCAGCCGGCTGGTCTTTCTGTGGTCACCCTAATCCTCGATCCTCACCACGCCCCACGCTGTGCATCTGTTGGGGGGGGGGGTGCTCTGCTTTTGTTCGTTTGTGTGAATAACGTGAGACTGAGACTGAAATCCTGCGCACGTTCCTGAGTGCTGCTCAGAGGTGCCAGCCCCGTGCTCAGTGGACTCAGGTAAACTGCACACCTGTGAGCCCTAAGAAGGTTCTAGAGGCTCCCGAGGATGCTTGGGGCTGGTATTGCCAGGGTCTCAAAGGCCGCCCACCCTGAGGGTCTCTTCTGCCCGCCTCTGCAGGCTGGCTCAGGCGCTGCAGCTCTGGGGTGCAGGGCAGCGCATGGGCCCCGCAGGCAATCTAAGGGCTTTCTGAGAGGAAGGCTGGTGGCATGGCCTAGGCCTGGCCTGACTGCCGCCCACTGGCCCACAGCGCCTCCCTCCCGTGGCCGAGGACCCCACCGCCCTCACCGCCCGGGTTGACAACGGCGAGCGAGGCAGAAATGACGTAGACGTGGTTCTGTACAAAACCTGAAATAGTTTACTCTTTTAAAACTTCGGTCTAAGATGCCTTAGACCTCATGGACTCGATACAAGAGTAATATGAATTGGGAAATAAAACACTTTAATAGCCACAATAAACTTTGTTAGAAATGTACATGTTGCCAAAATAATAATAATAAAATTAAAAAAATAAAAGAGAGAGCGAGCGAGAGAACAGCCTGGTGGCCAGGTTAGACTGTATAAATGTTCAACAAGGACGGGAAAGGAGGCCTTCAAAACACCGGTCGGAAGGCCGGGGCCCCAGGAGCCTCGCCCTCCCAGCCCCGGGGCCGCGTCGCCCCAACAGGACGAGCGGGGGCCGGGCCTGTGCGAAGCTGCCTCTCCTCATGGACAGAACAGCCAGGAATGGGCATATAAACAAGGCTCATAAGAAACGTACAAATATAAAAAGCTACAAACATTAATAAATTACAGCATCACAAAACACAGAACACTCCACAAGGTGCCAGTGAGATAGCCGTCCCCACCCCGCATCAACAAGAGGGAAGAAAGAGCTGGTGTTCTAGTGGAAGGCTCCTCTCCAGACGGGTCTGAAACAGATCTCGTGTGTACTGTTTGCTTCTGTAAAGACAGATATAAGGCTGCACAAACATCACTTGTTTTTCAGGCAATACCTTAGTCCTAAAAGAAATAATCGTAATACAACCATAACAATTGAAAGGAAGAAGGAAAAGGAAACGCATCGGAAACCCAACTGTTCATCATACTCGGCAAAAACTCGTAGAAATGTTAATGAAGGACTCTATAGAAAGAAATTCCTAAAGATACTTTCACTCTTATAAAAAAGAAGTTATTTAAAAAGCTATTTACACGCTACATTCTATGAAAAATATGCTTCAGGAAATACATCTAAAATTAAAATACAGGATTGCCTGAGAAACAAATCCAGCCCCTCCATGTCAATGGGCGGACACACGGTCCAGGAGCCACCCGTGTGCTCAACACCGAATGCCCACAGGTGACGAGACAGAAGTGCCCGCCCCGCGTCCTCGGGCCGCCCGGCCAGGCCCGGGGCAGGATGCCTCAGCTGAGAAGAGCTTCTCGGAGTGTAGCTGGTCGAGCTGGACGGGCCCATCCACGTGGCTTAGCCTGGGCCCCCCGGGCCCCACATTGTGGCTGGGCCCGAGCCCTTCCCCAGGGACCCTGCCACGGCTCCCCTGCCCACTAACACACTGACCCTGCTGCCGGCCCCAGTCATGCCAAGAAATGCCCTGGACATTCAGGGTGCAACATCCACCATCTGGCCTGCCACTCGCCGACCAGAGAGCACAGAGGCCCGTCAGCTGGCCGGGCCGGATGCTCTCTGCACTTGTCTGAGAATCACTCGAGAAGAGAAGGGAGGCATGTGAACACCCCGCTTTCTCCTCTTCCTCTCCAGTCGTCTTTGCCTTTTTTTAAGCCTCTGGAGGCTGCCAGCCTGTGGCTAGCTCAGACTCTGAGCCTGGTGAGTGCTGGCTCACTCCTTCCTCGAAGGACTCGTGCTCCCAGCAGAGCTGCAGAGGCCCTGCAATCACACCCATGCTCCAGGGTGCCTGGAGGCTGTCCTGAAACTGGAATGGTCCTCAAACTGGCAGGGCCACATTGTGGGAACTGGTCACTCTAAGCAACTTGAAAAAGGACATTCGTCCATATCAGTGAGCTCCACCAGCTGAAGCAACAGATGCTTGTGTGGGGGGCGTGGTAGCCGGGAGGAGGCCAGGCCCTCCCTGGGGTGAGGCAGCGCAGCCACCCTCCTGGGGGCTGATGTTCTAGTGGGGCTCCGGAGTCCTGAGCGGAGCAGAAGGAGCTTGGCTTTCCAAACTTTAAAGGAGCAGTTTCCCATTCCGATGAATTTTCAAAATTTTCCCGAGCCTCTGCTTTGCGGTGGCCATGCCCTTTTTTGTACGTTTTCCTGGGGGCGGAGGAGGAGACATAAAAAAGGCAGATGAGCGAGAGGACAAGAGGAGGAGTGTGCAGGGCAGGGGGCGGTCTCTATCCCCTCTTGTAAAAGGGGTCTGCGATGCCTGAGCCCCGGGTCTCCACACCCAGCCAAAACCACCAATCGTGGATGAAGCGTCTGGCTCAGAGGCTGCATGGACGAGGGGGCCACAGTGGAGGGGCTGGGCTGTGGCGAGTGGGTGGGGACAGGCAGGGGACGGGATTGCTGTGAAGCGAGGCTCCCGCCCCGCCTCCTTCCAGCAGGGCACCTGCAGCCTCGCCCTGTGTCCACGGCCAGCTGGGCCTTGCAGCCAGGGGGCAGGCAGATTGGGGGCCTGGGGGTGACAGTGCGGATGCCAAGGGACCCAGCCAGCTATCCCACCCCCAGTTCACACAGAGGAGCCTGGGTCACCCTGGGCCCCTCCCAGTGAACTCTCGGCAAACCGCTGACCACACTCAGACTCCAGGCCGGGCCCCAAAGCCGAGGCCCTGAGGGTCTGAGGGGCCGGACCTCACTTGGAGGTGACCAGATGCCCCTGGGGGGGAACCCTCATCTTCAACCTGGAGAGGGACCATTTCTTTCACACACTGATGCAGGGCTGGGCCGCAGACGCTCAGGGTTTGGTGAGACAAAGGATACCTGTGGTCATCTAGGGGACAGTCTGTGAGTCTAGGCCACTCAGGGCCGGTGGGCATGGTACCTTTGGCAGCAGTGTTGTTGGGGGACGACGCAGAAGGCCGCCTCTGTGTGAGGAAGACCCCAGGGGCCATGGGCTGGGAGGTGCGGCCAGCCTGGGCCCCGGTGAAGGCACCGGCCGCAGTGTACTCGTGGTCGGCCAGGCTGCTGCTGTGCGACTCGGGCAGGGGTTCGGGAGAGCTGCCTTCCTGCGAGGCCTGGCTGCTGGCTGTGCTGGTGGAGGCCGGGGTGGTGGAGGCCGGGGTGGTGGAGGCCGAGGTGGTGCTGGCCGAGGTGGTGGAGGCCGAGGTGGTGGTGGCCGAGGTGGTGGAGGCCGAGGTGGTGCTGGCCGAGGTGGTGGAGGCCGAGGTGGTGCTGGCCGAGGTGGTGCTGGCCGAGGTGGTGGAGGCGGAGGGGGAGGTGGTGTTGGGAGCCAGCTTCCTTTTGGTGCTTTTTTTCTTCCTACTTTTCTGCTCCTCCTTTGAACAAAACATGTGGGCACGTTACCCAGCACGGCTGGCTGGGCCTCAGAGGCTGGGGGCAGCCCTCATGGCCTCGGCCCCCTGGGCACGAGGCCTCTCCGGTGCAGCTGAGCTCCCCGACACTGCAGGAGCAGAAAGGGCCTGGGCCGTGGGGCCATACCTGAGCCCCATATGCAGCCACTATGAGCCCCTAGAGCAGCGCTGGGGCCTGTGGAGGGACCACCACACCCCCCTGTGAGGTGAGCCATCCCAGACATGGGGACCCACGGATGTGGCACCAGCACTCGGCCGCAGCAGTCAGGCCGGGCTCAATCTGAGCTTACCTAGTGTCGGGTGTGTAGGACGGTCCCCACCACCACCCCAACCCCTGGTCACCCCACTCTGAGCTGCTGTGGGACTTTTGTCCCCAGTTCTGGGCTTCTTCACCCCCCACTCACAGAGACTTGGGGGCCTGGAGGACCCATGGTCAGCAACACTCAATTGTCCCCAAGCTTGTGACAGCCCCCAGCCCGGGTGGTCCATGCACGGGGCTGGGACAGAGCAGAGGCATATGGGAGCCTGAGCCCGAGCAGGGGCCCCCTCCTCACCTGTTGGGACAGCTTGGCTGCGGCGGCTGCCAGCCCAGTCTCGATGGAGGCCACTCTGGTCCCCTCACGCACAGGCCTGTCCTGCCTGGGGACCGATGGGCCGACCCTTGCTGTGGGAGAGAAGGCCAGCTGCCTCGAGGCTGCCCACCACCTGTGCCCCTCCCGGGCTCCCCGGCTCCACTGCAGTCTGTCCCCAAGTCCCACAGACACATCACAACTCGGGGAGGGTCAGCGCAATGACTGATGGTGGGGGGCCCCCACAGCAGCAAGACAGGAGAGGGTGGGCAGGGGTCACATGGAAGGCAGACAAGGCCCCCACCCCACCGGCCGCCACGAGGGGCCAGGTGCGAAGGTGGCTGCTCCTGGGGCTGCTCATGAGGAGAAACTAGGCCAAGGGCCAGCCCCCGGGGGGCACTGTACCACCCCGTCATCTCCTCTCAGGAGCCAGGATGCCCGCAGGGGAGCCGCACAGGTGCCTGGGCTGAGGTCACGGGAGGGAACCCCAGTCAGGCTTCCGCTGGCCAGCGGCACCCCGTCTGAACCCCGCACTAAGCCAGGGGCCGCACTGCCCACGTCGTGGTGGAAGGAGCCCCTCCCAGCCCCAGTGCTACCTGTTGGGCTGTAGGGAGCATCGTCCGAGCCTTTCCTCTTCTTGGACCGGGACTTGAAGACCGGGCTGTCCTCGTCCGACTCCAAGGAGGGGTAAACTGCGGGATGAGGGGGGAAAAACTGAGCCACCGGCACGGCCACAGGAGGCTGAATACTGCAGGCCACTGGCTGACTGGTGACCAGTGTCCCTGGGCCATCCTCAGGCTGCTACATTCACGGGCACGGGGGGCCCCAGAATCGTCCAGCCCAGGCCCCCTTGAGGTGCAGAGAGGGGCAGGGACTGGCCAGACGAGAGGCCCTGTCCAGCCCCCGGGGCCCTGGCCCAGCCACGCCTGCCCCAGCCTGGCCTGGTATCCGGAGGAGGAAGCCTCACACAGCAGCCCCAGGGACGAGCCAGGTGCCCCACTACAGGCTGCGACCTTCAACCTCCAGGGCAGGTGGCGCCTGAACACCCAGGACCCGTCCCGCGCCCTGAGGGAGCCCAAGAAACGGAGTTCACTGTCCATCTGTCTGTCAGACCAACAAGCCCCACAGCAAAGCCCGATGTGTCCGCTGGCGGGGTCAGAACCAGCCCACTGCACAGCCCTCGGACTCTCAGGACAGTGCGGAGGCAGGCCCTGCAGCCTGGCCCTGGATGTCCCCGGGCAGCAGGCCCAGGCGGGGAGACAGCCCCTAGCTTCTGAGCCCCCCATGAGGCCGACGACAGCTCCTCCAGAGCTCCCAGAGCCCGGGGTGCAGGGCCCGCAGGGGCTGTGGTGGGAGGCAGGGGCCGCTCCCCCAGGAGCAGGCCACAGCCATGGCCCAGCCCCCCACTCACTGCCCACCTCAGACACGGGCCACAGAGCCACTCTGGGCTTTGGTTTCTCCATCTACACAGAGACTGACAAGTGGCTGCAGTCTCAACGCATCTGCGAGTGTGAAACGGTGCAGCCGCAGGGAGGACGGCTGGACAGGTCCCTAGGAGGTGAAATAGGCAGCGACCTTCGACCCAGCAACGCCCCTCCCAGGTATACACCGGGGCACATGGACACGGGCCACACAAACCCCTGCACACCACGTTCACAGCAGGCTGGTCACACTTGACAAAAGGCGGAAGCCCCAACGCATCCACAGATGGATGCTGGACGAACAGATGTGGTGTGGACCACAGTGGGACAGTATTCAGCCATAAAAAGGAAGGACGTGTGGACGCGCTCCAACGGGTGAACCTGCAGGGTTCAAAGGACCCAGCCTCCTGCGATTCCAGTCGCGAGACACGTCCGGGAGAGGAAAATCTCGAGGCAGAGGGAACCGGGAAAATCTCATGGCTCCCGGGGGCCGGGGAGCAGGGACTGCTGGTGGCTGTGGGCAGGGCTTCCTTTTGGGTAATGGTAGGGGTGCACACCCTCGGAACACACTAAACACCACTGAGCCGCACACTTTTTTTTCTCCTGAGGAAGACTGGACCTGAGCTAATGTCTGTGCCCATCTTCCTCTATTTGGTATGTGGGTTGCCACCACAGCATGGCTGCCGACGAGTGGTGGAGGTCTGCATCCCCCAGGATCCAAACCCATGAACCCATGAACCCATGAACCCAGGCTGTCAAAGTGGAGCTCGCGGAACTTAACGACTACGCCACCAGCCCCCGAGTGCTGCACACTTCTAAAGGGTGACTTTCAGGGTCTGTGAGTCTTGTCTCATAAAAAGGGCCCAGAGGAGCCTGCTCTGCCGCAGAGCCCCGCGTGCTCACCGTAGTCCGAGTCCTTGAAGCAGGCGTCTAGGTGGTCCTGTTCCTCTTCGTAGTCGTCCAGGTCTGCGCTGTTCCTGGCTGCCCTCTTCAGCAGCCGCTTGCCCGCGCTCTTGCCGCCGGCCCCGTTCTTCCGGGCGCCATGGGCCGCAAGAGAGCTGCCCTTGGCCTGGCCGGCGCCCCAGGTGGTCTGCAGGCAGGAGTCGGAGGCCTGCAGGTTGGCCATGGACAGCATTCCTTGAATGGCTTCCTGCGTGCTGGGGGAGGCTGGGGGCTGGCTGGAGGCACAGAGAGACAGGCACTCAGCCCGAAGCCCACAGCTCACGACACAGTCTGCAGCCCACGGCTCACGGCCCGCACAGCGTTCCGCCCAGCGGCCAGCAGAGGGTGCAGGGTGGAGCATGGTGGTGGCTGATGACTTCCCCATGGAAATGGCCAGCCACCCCCATCCCCTACCCTCTGCCCCCCCAGCACTCCACAGGGAGGGCTGGAGGCCTTGGGACAGAGAGGGGACACTGGGCGGGGGGAAGTGGAGGGAGGGGAGGAAGAGGGGCAGAGGAAGGGGGATGGCAGATGGAGGGGACTCCTCAGCCCACCCCGTGCTGCTCTCCTGCCATGAACCCCTGCCCTCAGCCCTAGCCCCAGGTGCCCCTTCCCCTACACTTTCAAGGGCACCCTCCCATCCAGCATCCTAACATAGCGCAGCACAGCCCTCTCCCTCCCATGGCACGTGCTCTCCCCAGGGACCCGTATCTTCTCTCCATGGCTGCACCTGCACCTGAACCTGTACCTGCGCCACACTTGCACCTGCACCCACAACTGCACCTGTACCCACACCTGCATCTGGACCAAAACCCACACCTACAGCTACATCTACACCGACACCTGCACCTAGACCAGCACCTGCACCCACATCTACATCTACAGCCACACCTGCACCTGGACATGCACCCACACCTGCACCTGCACCCACATTTACGTCTGCACCCCCACCAGCAACCACACCCAGA